AAAATATAATTAATATAAAATATTTTAAACATTTTAAGTGAAATGTGTTTATAAACAATATAATAATACATAAACTTTGTATAAAATACTTTACATATTTTTTAAAGTGAAAAAGTGAAATACAGATGTGAAAGTTCCAGATGTTGACAGGTGCTGTTTATCACCATGGCGTCCCTTCTGATATTTGTCACACTGCTTCATCTCATCACACTGGCGGTTCTCTTTATCGCCACCATGGAGAAGGCAAGTATTTGAAACTTTGCAACAAATAATCCCTAAAAACTATTTGTTAACTTATTAGAATAGTGTGCATATGTCTGAAATCATTAATGCATATTTAATCTCCTGTATGATTCAGTCCTGGTGGGTTTGGGACGGCACAGAACACTCAGACCTCTGGTACAACTGCCGATTTGACAATGAAACAGAGGCATGGTTCTGTGCATCATCAGAAGAGACGGGTAAAATAATACATTTGAGCACGTCAGTGATTTTGAAATATGGGAATTTACTCTAACATACATCACCACTGTTTAAAGCAGAACAGTCTCTGTTTTGTTTCCATCAGAGTGGCTTCAGGCTGTCCAGGTTCTGATGGTCCTATCTGTGGTTTTCTCCGCCATTTCATTCCTGATATTCCTGGGACAACTCTTCACCATATCTAAAGGAGGACTCTTTTACCTCACCGGTGTCTGCCAGGCATTTGCTGGTGAGTGCTTCAACCAAATTTGTTGTATTACTCGAGGTTACCGTCTTCAGCCCAAGCTAAAACACATAAACACTCAGTTCAGTTGCTCTGAAGTAGAGAAAAAAAACTATTCTATTGTTCTGTCTTCTCAGGCCTCAACGCCTTCACCGCTGCGCTCATTTACACTCTGCACAATAAAGAAATCCTTGAGGACTCAAGGGAGTTGAGCTCGGGACACTTCGGTTACTGCTTTTACTTGGCGTGGGTTTGTGTACCTCTGCTCCTGTGCAGCGGAATCATGTACATCCATCTGCGCAAAAGGGAATAGAAACGAGTCTCCTAAAAAAAGACAAGCCATGCGAAGAATGTTTGCTGTTGACATACTCCACTGACTGATTATAGACTTTATGATAGCTTGCAAGACATTTATTTTTCGCTTATTTAGACTGTATTTAGCCATATATAAATATACACCGCTGAAATATGGCCACAACACAGCCCATGCCGTGGATCAGCACAGCTTAGTTAACTCTTAAAAGGGCAACCACGACTAATCTATCTGATTAGCTGAATTATATCTAATTTAATAATAAAAGTGGCCATGTTACTTAATCTTGTTTCATACTAAAGGGATACTTGTATACATTATAGTGGTATCCATATGCTAACATTTTAAGGTGTATTTTTATAAATAAATTTGATTAAGACATTAATGTCTGATTTCAATTTCATTACCGTGTGAAAATATTCTTCACAAATACACTGTAAGACGGTCGACTCCACAGACCTTGGGAGTGCATGACAAACTCATGACTCCAGTTTCTGAACTAAAAGCTTCCATCACGCCGTCTAGCATGATCTTACGACAAACAAAGCTTTCAAAAACAAACCGCTTCCTGACATGCAAAGGTCTCTTTTATGGGGGAAGAAAATGTAGGACATCAGCACCTGGTGGTGCCATACTCTGAAACACTCCAAAAAAATTAAAATAAAGTGCTCTCCAATGCCAGACAAAGGGGTTTAATATCAGGTTCACCACAGCTCACAACCACACAATATGTCCAGAATTCTAGTCAGTTTCTGCATAGAATACAAGGCCACTGATATGTTCACCAGCAGCAGTGTCCAAAACTGAAGTTGGCTCTTAATCAACCTATTCATAATTTTATTATTTTAGAATCAAGCAAAATATAATAAAAAAATCAATATAGTGCGACACCCTAAATAACAAAATGCCTAAAATATAATAAAAGAAAGATTGTATTGTTATATATATATATATATACAGTGGGTACGGAAAGTAGTATGTATATATAT